TCGACATATATGTCCCGTGACCAGCGAATGGTATCCGATACAACGAGGCGTTTCATCATCGCCGCGTACGGGCGCAGCAGCTTCAAGACTGCCTCGTTGCGCGGATCCCACGAGCCGAGGGCGCCGACGACGAAGGCCGTCACGACGACACGGTAACCCTGCCGTTGGAGCTCCTCTGCCAGGGGCGAGTACTTGGCGATTTTCCTCGCCCTGGCGTCATCGAAAGCCTGCCAACGGTTTTCGAAGGGCACCGTGATGTCGCATATAACGACGCTCTTGGAGGGCTCGTGCCTGACGACGAGGTCAAACACGGGTACTTATCAAACTGCCCTCGTATACAGAAAATTAAAATTAAATAATTATAAATATAACAATAAAATACGACTCACCTATGAAGATAATCCAACATAAAAATGCACATAATTATTTATTACACTAATAACTATTCACTACACTAATAATAATAATATAAAAAGTTATATAATAATAAAAAGTTTATAGTCCCGATTAGTACTACCACAAACCCTCGTATTTTATAATGTATATCACTGACAGCATCAACGTCCGCGTCCCTGTGCCAAAGTTCACCCGAAAAATTATTAAAAATTGGGACACCATGCCCACGGCCATGAATCTAATGAACACGTCCGCGATTTAAGGGAGCAGCTCCCTAATAGCGTCTCTAGCGAGACGCTGCATAAAAATTTGCTCTGGTGCCTCCGGCACCGCTCCATCAATTTGAGACTCTGGAAATTTTAGTTCAATATCCTTTATCACGAAACGACACATATTAACGAACTTAACAGTGCGAAGCTACTGACGAGACAGCGTACATAAATAAAAATCATCTCACGGAAAAAATTCATAGGAATATAATATGAGAAGGACTCGGTGCAGCAAAGTGATATATAAAATTTTAATATTTTTATTTAAACATATACCTTTTTGTTGTAAATCTTGAATTACGTCGTTGGATGTTACTTCATTATAAATTTCATCTTTATTATGTTTTTCTCTTAACGTCGTAACTTCGTTTTTATTACAATTTAAATCATTGTCATTTTCATTTTCAGAATTTGGATCATTATCATCATCAACTCCTTGTGCTGCTTCTAGATATCGAGATATTTCTAAAATTTCTTTTTCCATAACAGATTGCCTATAATGACTCATATGTATTTTGTCACTAAATTAAAAATAGGTAGTAGTGGATTTAAATCCGTACAAAAGGGCATAATGACAAGTACATAGTTCATCTTAGATTTATCTGAATACTTAATTATAAATAGAAATTTCGAATATGTTTTAACTTCAAGATTTATACAAGATTGTGTTGAAAATATTTTCTCGGAAATTAGACATAATGTTATATAATACCTAATCCACTTCAATTCACTAATGACTTAAAAATAATTGCCATCTCAATGTACATGAAAGATATTTTTAATACTAATTGTGATAAAGACGATAGACAGTATTTATCAGGGTTTCTTGAATATTTATCAAAAGAAAAGGAAATAAGCAAACCTGTGATTAATAATATTAATATATGTCAAAATGAGATCCCTCCTTAAATATAGATTCAATACCATATTTGTCAAATTTAGAATTAAATAGTTTGTATAACTTAGCTGGTTATATTATAAGATCTCTATTAATGCAGGAACAAATGAAACCGATTTCAATTTTAATTTTGAGAGAGCCATTGACACGAGAGAGGCCCATGAAGTTTGCAAGTGATGCAACTTCATTCTCCGATAAATTATAATGTATACACATTGTAGCAATATGCTTTCGTAATTCAGTTGCACGCAAAGTTTCAGGTTTTTTGGCACCATATTCTATTACATATTGTAGTCAATAGAATATTGACTGCCGTCAATAGAACTAATACTGTTCGTCCTAGTTTACCTCTTAATATAAAACGTACATATTTTTTAGCTATTTGTTTAGCTTTGTTTTGTGATGAAAGTGCTTCGTACATTTCATTTGTTTGATAATGAATTCCTTCATAAGTCTTGTAATCTTCGATAAGACTTCTCTGTATTTCTCCAGCTCTACGACGATTAAATACTTGCACCGACGTCAATGTTGCTTTTGTAAGTGTAAGCCACGCCTCATAAGAAAACTTTTCTTTCAAAACATTGTAAGCTGCTTGGCGATTTTCTTGTAGGAAGTTATGAAGCTGAATAATATTTGATTTAGAGGGAAGTACAACTTTTTTATATCTCTTATTTTGATTCATTGTTTCAGCAATCGTTTTTGTAATATGTGTTGTAAAATCTTCAGAAAATACTTTTAAGAAATCTTCGGCAAGTAATTCATTTCATAGCTCAATTTAAAAAATTAACCTCATACAGTCACGTTATCAACTGCAAAGTTTTTCTACAAAGTTTTCTATAGAGACAGATAATAAAACAGTCACATACTTTTTTTCAGGCATCTACGATTATATTATTGCTATAATCGACAATGTATCGTGAAATCTATTAGGCTAGGCAATTCAAAATATTTTAATAAACTCCACACACGCAGTTCGTACGCAATGAATAGCAACAATAACGCGACAGCTCGCGATCGCTGATTATGTTATCGAGTGAGATAACGAGACTGATACCAGACAGCGCGACAATACATTATATATTCAGTCATTTGGGTGGCATTTTACGTCATTGTGTTGGGTGCCTTGGAAACATTACGCGCGCACACACACTCGATTCCAATTTCTAGCAGGTTATCGTCCTCCGAGATTTATTACTCATGGACAATTGAGAAACACTGTCATTTGTATAAGTTTCGTTTCAGTGAAGCATTTCTTCATCTCGAAACTTTTATAAATTAAAGATAGAGGAAAATATGAATGTTTCGTCTTTATGATCAATACAGAGTATTCTTAATGACATCTCCGAATGAGAATTTATTTTCCTTTCTAATATATCGATTAATCAATATGTTTCCAAGTTCTTTTATTAATCCTCCAAGAGATGATGCAAGAGTGATGGAATCTTATAAAATCCACATAAAGATAAACCTGTCAATGTGTTAATTGCTTCAATACAGCATCTACTATATCGCGGAAAAAAAATTGAAACAAAATCTGTTATTTCAGGCTGTTTATTTTTTATTTCTTGAAATAGGCGACCAATTCTTCTCAATTTTTGTCTAATCATTCCATCATTATGCTCTGATAATTTATATTTTTCACATTGTTGATTGAATGAGATTATTAATTTTTTTTATTTTTATTAAAAGTGGAACATACCACCGCAGACGGGGCAACCCCTCGCTGTTCCACTGGGACCGAGCACCCGACCCGCCGCACTGCCCTCATACTGTCCAAGACCGGAGGACCGAAAATCAGACTCAGGCTGAAATTCCTCCACCCCTCGATGTTTCATACTCCTCCGTTTCAAGCCCTTTATCCATCTTAAATGATCTCCTGGATCTTCTTCCTTCTCCTCCTCCTTTCCTCGCAGATTTTTTTCAGGAAGATCCTCCACTTCCTTCATATCCTTCTTCTGATGAAGAACCACTAGATTTTACAGTTCCAAAATCCTCCTCTAGTCTTCCTGTATCCCCTCCGTGCTTCATCCAAAACCCGGATGACGTACACGGTTACCTTGTCATTGTAGCCCAATCCTGTCCTGACTGTAGAGTCGTGGTCTACATCCCAGGTATCGATCACCCCTTTTCCGCTCCGATCGCCACTCTCCTAGCAATACGTCCTTTCTCCTTGGGACCTCGCCCACCAACTCTTCACATTCTCTTACCAATTCACCTCACACACACATGTATCCGTACACACATAAATATAATATTAAAAATAATTTGTTTATTAGTATATATTATATATTTTAAGAATTCCAAAGTAAATATGTTTCTAAGAAATTGGAATTCGTCCAATTAGTATCTTGTATTAAAGTAATAAATAAGCGTGTTAAAGGTTATTTAATATCACAAAGTGTATAATTTAATTTAAACCTTCCCCGCATTCCAACCGTCATCCCCGAGATCGCACTTGATCCATATCCCAGGCTATAAGGATTGAGTTCCTTGGTCTAAATTTAAAGGACCGACGGGCGTACGGTTCGGGATAAGTGTCATAGTGTGCCGTATACAATAGTAGTGGAGGCCGAGAGGCTAAATGTGGATTTACTCGAGCGTCGTGGGGACCTATTGGATTGTGAAGATTAGATGCTAAAAAGAAAAAAAGGTTATATGATGTATGCCGTTTCAGTGGTGGGGGAGCGTGTACAGGCTTTCAAAAAAAAACAGTGACAATGCAATACTCGAAGCGTGTCAGATATTAATAGTGTAAGCAACCCATGTGTTTCTGATAACGGATAAATATTAATCTGACGGTTTACGTGGTGGGGTTAGCTGTAGGAAGGGGTCAAAAAAGGGGGAAAAAAAAAATTTCCAGAGCGCATCTCGAGCGCGTCAGATTTTTGAAATGTACACTTTTCTACATGTAATTAACACACCATACCTTAATCTGACGCGCTCGAGTTTTCGAACGATCGATTTTTTTTATTTACTAATCCCCTGGACCTCCGGCTCTATATAGAGGTTTAATATTTGGTGGGGGTACTTACTAGGGTGCAAGTTTTCCCCCTTTATGTTATTCTGACGCGCTCGAGTAAATCCCAAAATCCCCGCTTGGCCTCCCGTACTACAAGTGTTATAGTATGGCACACTGACCTAATTCCGTATCCTTTTTTATGCGTCCGACTGTCTCTCGTAACCCTCCGCAGAGCGAGACGATCGGGAGACACATCTGGTGTCAGTTACGTTCTTCCGAGGCCTCCTCCTTAACCTAGAACTTCCCAATAAATAAAGAAAAATCCTGAGGCTTGGACGTAACATTATAATACTGTATTTTTTTCAATGTCCTGCTAATGCTGGCTCTACATACTATAACTATAAACACAGCCACAGTATTATTTTAATGGCAGTATGCGATGCTAATAATATATTTACATTTGTTGATATTGGAGCGTATGGTAGACGCAGCGACGGTGGAGTTTTCAAAGAATGCCAATTTGGTAAAAAAATTTGAACGAAATGAAATTAATGTATCTGATGCAGAGGATATTTCAGAAAATGGTCCGAAATTGCCATATTGTCTTGCCGGAGACGAAGCGTTCCCTTTAAAAGAGTACTTGCTTCGACCATATCCGGGAAAAGGCGGACTGACCAAAGAGACAAATATTTTTAACTATCGTCTAAGCCGTGCCAGGCAAAAAATTGAAAATTTGTTTGGTGCTATTACCTGTCATTGGCGAATACTGAGAAAGCCAATAATTGGTAAAGTAGAAACAGTGGAAAAAATTGTGCAAGCTATTATTTGTTTGCATAATTGATTACTAAAACAGGAGGTAAACAAAAATAAATACATTTTTATAAATATGATTGATCATTATGATTTCAATGGCTGCTTTTTACCTGGTTCATGGAGACACTACGTTTAATGTGTTCCGAAAAACTGGTAAAATTGGACACATTTGAGTTTGTTCCTGACGTATTCTCATCTCTATCTTTTTCATTCTCTAATGGATGTTTGTTGAAGTTACAATTACTGGAACTTGATTCGCTGGAATCGAGGGCATGTAATGTATCTTCCGAAACATTACTTTTTGAGAGAACTGCAAAATATATTAATTTAATATTATATATTATATTTAAAAATAATTATCTAAAATTAATGTTATATATTATATATAAAAATAATTTTGTATATGTATTATTGTAAATTGTTAATATTGTATATGTATATGTATTATTGTAATTGTTGATATTGAAATTGTAGAATTGTTGACTTACGGCCTTGAAGTTGTTAAGTCATTCAAGAATTTCATTTGGCCATAGTATCGAAAACCTCTTTCTTTTTCTTGTTTACTTCTGAACCACTGGGTATATACTCGGTAATCTTATTCCTGGCTTTCTTGTAAGAATCACGAAGGTTTCTCCAGTGCTTTTTAATTTCCTGTACTTCAAATTTATCTAAAAATTAAAAATGAAAGTTTCATAAAACATTTTTCCAAAACAAAAAGAGATTATTAATATGTACTTACATTGTTCCTAACAATTGATGCTCCTGAGCAACGTGAATATTAATCTGCAATGAAACAGGCGCGTTCCGGGTGATGTTAGTAAACGCTTGATCTATTTGTTACAAACTAGCTTTATAGTATAGATAATGTCCTAGTTCTATTGATCAAAATCGAAGCTTTTGCATGTATCATACCCACTGCATCCGAGAGATTATCTATGTTCTCCATCGTTTACAAGACTAACTGACAGACTAACCGACCGATAGAGTTTGATTTTAAGAGAGAGACTGTAAACTATTTGACAGAAATCTTTGAATCTCTACTGATGAAAAACTAACTAACAAGTTTCGCGGGGTCACAATTTTATAGAGATCTTTGAAGGATGTGCCGAGTTGCACGAGGGTTTCTGGTTGGTAGGATCCCTTCGTTGGAATATTTGGTTTTCAAGTAGTTACTTTTTTGAGAATCGCTTTTAGATTAGCTCTGTCTACACCATAAGGTTTTAGTTGTCTAATATCGTTGGGGGGCTACGCGACATCATCTTTTCTATTCTAAGGACTTTTGAGTTCTCAGTCACCCATTGGTGAGTTCGGTTTTAATTTTTTCCGTTTACTGAGAGAGGGGCTTATCGTCCCTTCCGAGCTGTCTAGTTATGATGTATGTTGTGCTAACGTGAGTTTTTTTTTCGTATTTTCCCTTTTTTTTAATCTTTTTTTCTTTTTTTTTTTTACCGATTTCTCTTTTATTAGCTATAAGAAATTGCCTTTAATGATCGAGCTGGATCTTAGATATTATTATAATTCCGTGTGAATTTATATACTACACATATCCACGTAGATCGGTTTGTCGAATTTTACCTTGAGTTTACGCATTTCTATCGCGACCAGATTTTCAGAAAATACGCTTCTACTGTAAAAGTTTGGTTTTGCGATCATTGCCTCTGTACCGTATTTTCCGTCCCAACATGTTAAGAGTCGCACGTTGACATGGTTGCGCACATAGTTTTATCGAAAACCGCGTTGTTCATCAACTTGTATAAATTTTTCTCGAACTCGTTGGCGTTCTAAAAGAATAGCTGAAGCATTGATACGGAGATTTATATGTTAAATTGGTAGCCCTAAAGCCATATTAACAGACCAAAGAACAAATTTTACAAGTGCAATAATGAAACGATTTGCCAGATATTTTAAAATAAAAGAATATCGAACTTCTTCTTTTCATCCTCAACCCAACGGATCATTAGAACGAAGTCATCATGTATTAACAGAATATTTAAAACATTATATATCAGACGAGAAAGACTGGGACAATTGTTATAATTAAACTGGGACAATAAAATATTATTATCATCTAATTAACTAAAAATACTGTATATAGGTTTAAGTGTTTTTTGATATATAATAAAAATTATTATTTGAATTTGTTACATCTCTTTATCGAGCTGACATTACTTTATATTCTTATCTCCATTGTATGGTTCCAAATTTATTGCTGATTACGTTTTATTATTTGATTGCATCGATTTCTGATTCTCTAATATTATACAAAGGCGGTGGAATGTATATCTCATCATTCATTTTCAAGCCACCCTCCTCATCCGTATCATACCCCTTATATGGTACTGTTCATCAACCTCCATATCGATCTCGTCAGGAGTGTGACTCTGGCTACGTTCCGTTTCAGGCTTCTTCTTCTTCTTCTTCTAAATTTATGGCTCCCGCAGACAGAACGCGGCAATGCTTGCCGCGCGGCGGAAGTTGCCACGATAGTCAATCAGCGTCTCGCTGGCAAGACATTGAACAGCATCTTTATATATTTGTCTAATACTGTTGAGCGCAAAACATTTGCAACTGAGAATCAATTTTTCAAAACAATTTGTACCACACTGTGTTACTTACAATTAGACCGTAAGATTATTTATCTTTACGACTTTGTAACATATTGAAGAATCGTTGAAGAAGGACATGTGAGTTCAGAAACGTTCGATACCATTATTATTATATTTATATTGTATTCTTTATATATTATTTTTATGCTGTACTTCATTGTAAACTTGAAATTTATTTTACAAAAATATATTATTACTGCTCGATTTAGACTGAATTTCTTTATAATTTCTGAATGGTTCGAGATGTAGGATTGAAATTTACAGGGATACAACAAGATCATAAAATCTATTATTAAACATCCACCTTAACATTCCCAAAGGAAGAGGGGAAAAGAAGGCCTAAAAATCTTAAATATCAAACGTTGTATACAAGAAGCAGAAAATTTGTTGAATATCGATGAAGTGTCTAAATTGTACTTTGATGTCGACAACTTGTTGACATCATAAGATTTTTCTTCATGGGTAACAATTTGGCGTCAAAGAGTATTTATTAATGTATTATTTATAAATACAGTATACGCGAAAATTGTAAAACGGAAAGATTATCTGTAATAAAAGATATGAGAAGGCTGTATATCAGAAAGTAGAATTAATTTCAAAATCTTCTCTTTCTGAAAAACCGATTCAATCAAAGATAAGCCAAGATGAGCCCGCACTATACACGCACGCATGCACAAAAGAGATGTATTTCTTTCTTCAAAATAACAATGTTTAAATGACCATAACTGCGGAAAAAAGTCTTAGAGACCTCGATCAGTCCGCATTGTTCTCGTCTTGAAAAGCCCTTTCGAACGAGTCATCATTTTGCTGTTATGATGTTATATGATAATGTTATATAAATGAGAGTTCATGGCGTGCTGTCAGTTTGCTGTCAATGTGACGAGTTTATTATTTCTCAATGTATACTCTTACAATTTCATAAACTCATGAATTATCTGTTTTACTTGGTCGTGCCGCTCTTATAGATTGGTATCATATGTTAAAAACTCTGGAAGAAATCCTTCGATATTTGGGCTCCTTTTTTGTCAAATAATCTCAGACATAAAAGTGCACCTTTCCTTTTTCACATTCAAGGAGTTTATACAAGGTCCTGTCTATTTTATGTAAGTTTTACTTGATAATGAGTTCATTCTAATAGTCCAGAATGTACTCATTATTAAGTAAAACTTACATAAGCTCGTTTGAGACCTCCGCCAGGATGATGTTGCCTCTCGTTGCTTTCTAGGAAGTGCCGGTCGAGATGATATAGGAAAGGTGTAGCGTCTCACGCGCTGAGAGGAGGATTTTGCTGCGGCCTTCACCGGTTTTTCCGCCGGTTCCTGTAAGAAAGCCTCCGCTATAACATATAACATGAGTTTCCTTATTAGCTGATTTTAACTTATGGACGACACGCGTTTTGTTATGTTCTATTCTTAATTTAACATTATTATTTTCTATGGTATCTATTATATGAAACGGATCCCCATATTGGTTATCTAGTTTCCCTTTCTAGTATCCCAAGAGAAAACGCTATTATAGAGTCTATAACGAGATTTCAATCTATCAGAAACCTGTTATACGGAATACACGGTTTCTAATAGGAGTCAAAATCTTATTATTTTTTTATTATTCCTAATATTTCCTCTATATTGTGTGCAGAGTCTAAAAAACAAACGATTAATGTCCGATTAATCGATGATAATCAATTATATCTTGGAACTGTCCAATAATTGATTTAATTGATTAGGAATTTAAAGTGTCCCATCACTAGTTCCTTGCTCTACTCCTATGCATTCGGGGCTCTATTATGCAATAGGAAGGAAATGTGGCGTTGCAGATGTAGCTGCGGCGCTCGAGTCACTTCTTTTTCCGTTTTCCTATCTAGATTATATATGCTGGTTAGAGAGATAGAAGCGTCTTGCATATTACGTGCGACATGCGTACCTTTTGTATAACCCGACGATAAATTGTAAGTAGCGCTTGGTAAGATGTATTATTCTTTTTTTCACTTACGTCGTGAGATCTTAATTATTTATGTCATTAGACAATAATCTTGTCGTTAATTTTTAAGTTCTGTGTGTCATAGTCGATCTCGCGATACCGTTATTATTGTTGTCATACGCATACGATCACGTCTGGGCGAGTACTTCGTACGTATGCATATTTATTTGAGTTTGTAATAAACTATCCTTAAACTTGTGAATCAGATTCAGTGATTAACTTTCCACTGCCGACTAAGCATTTTCTCACCTATTCCATTTCGCCTTCAGCGAGCCATCGTTGGCGTCAGACATGCACGGCACAGTATATTGGGCAATGAGACACATTAGCCCCCACAACTGGTGACCCCGACGTGATCGCGTCGCGCCCGTGCAATATAATCATCGACATGGCCAATAGCTCAAGCGACCCTCCCTCGGGCGATCAGGGTAGCGGTATATCG